GCAGCCCTTACCTGTCTATAGTAATTGTAAGACCGAGGGCCTTACCAAATGCTCCAAGGAGCTGACTGCAGTGAAGAACACCTGGGAAGGAACACACTGGACAAGTTGGAAAGTAAAACAGACCTTTATTAGTCTGGCCAGATGGCACTCCCAAAGCAAAGTAGCTCAGAGAGGCAACTGGCTCAGAGTCTGAAGCTGTTTTTATAGGGGGTCTCAGGGGAAGTTGGCAAGCAGAAATACAAAAGCGGAGGAGAGAGATAAAACAGACCTTTTACAGATTGTCCTTAAGATAACATATTCAGATATGGAGTTGGGCAAGCATGACAGAATGCTACACACACAACAGACCTTCCTGGCACAACAACAAGCACATCCCTGGAACTTGATGTCTACCTGGTGATCCGTAACAGAAGCAGAAAGTTGGGGCCCTGTTACAAAGATGGAGTAACTATTGTTCAGTCTTACAGTCCCCACTGATTTTTCCCATAGCTTTGTAATCTTATACAGCATTATCTTGGTATTCTTGCCTCCATCTTTGTTCTTTTTCATCTAGCTCACTTAAAGGATGATATTTGGCCTGTTGATTCAAAAATCATTAGGAGAACAGATCCTATCCGGGCCCTTACATAGGCCATAAGCTTATTAATAATGCATAGGCCAAAAGTCAAAGCTAGTAACAAGATTAACAGGGGTCCAGCAAGGGCAGAAACAAGGGTAGTCATCCAGGGAGACCAGTTAAACATTGACTGGAACCATCCCTCCTGTTTTATCAATCTATTATAATTTTCTTGTAGATGTTTATTTACAGTGGCCAGAGTTTCTCTTATTATTCCAGATTTGTTAGCATAATAGCAACGTTGCTCTCCTAGGGCTGCAGATAGCCCTCCCTCTTTCATAAATCCGAGGTCAAGTCCTCGCCGGTTTTGAAGGACCATCTCAGCCAGAGAATCAACTTGATTTTCCAATGAGACACTGACTCGGTAAGTAGGCCTAAGTCCATTGTTACCTGTTGGGCAAGGGTCTTGAAATTAAAGTCTTGCAGACCTATTGCGGTCACACCCAGAGCCGCTGATCCCACAATGCCTGCTGCATTTAACACAGGAATCAATGCTGGGTGGCGCTTCTCTCGGGTGTGTGCTCTCTTAGCTAGGTATTCCCAACCCTGGTCTTCTCCATACATAGTGACTTGGGGTAAAATGTGGACCGTTACACATACCTTAAGTTCCTGATTGAGGACTGTCATGGATAAACAGGGAGTTATACCATTTGTACATGCCCACCATGCATTGTTTCCAGCTTTTAAATATTTTTCATTACTGACAGTGGGTGCCTGATAAGAACATATACTGTCCAGATAAGATGATGTAACACTTGGATTTTTAACACATAACCCTTTTCCTTTTATATCCCCAATTGACAACCTTGGTTGTTTCCAATCACACTCATTCTGGTCAGCTTCTGAGAAGGTGCCGTTTACTGCCAACCCTACATAATACGGGGGACATGGACTCAAACACAGCCAGCACCCTTGAGTAAGATTGGGGCTAGACTCATTTAACAGGGTGTACATGGCATCCAGGGTTTTTAGGTATGGTTGGATCAGAGATTCAGGAGCAACTAATGACACATTATAGGTTCCTTTTGCCTTTTATTTTTCTTGGGGGCCGGAGACCCTATAAATGTTGCCTACTGGTTTAGGTGGTACTATTACTGGGCTACGCTGGATGAGGAGGTCTGTTATAGGGTCCTTTCCACCCACATAGAGTCCCACTGTCCAGGATTTTCCTTTTTCCCAATCTTTATATGGACTTCACCATTGTTTTAAGGTTAGCTTGATGGGATTACATTTTCCTTTGGAACATGAACCACTTGGTGTTTGTCGTTCCAAGGCCAAATACGCATCATCATTTTTCCACGGGGCAATAGATTCACAACCTCAATGATGACAGTGGTTTCCTGGTCCCTCATTGCACCTTTTATTTTTCCCTATGGGGCAGGCATAAATATCTATATCTTGGAGGTTTTTTTTCCAATTTATCGTCTATTCCACACCTCCCTCCACAGTCCCCTTTACCCATCTTTCGGGATGAAACTTTACCCTTTGATCCAGCCCCCCCACCACTAATGATTGGAAGCCCCAGAGAACACAGGTCTATAATAAAATGGGGCTGTCTATCAGTAGTAATGGTGGCAATGTGAGCTCCCATTAAGGCATTTTTCAAAGACCAAGTCCAGTTCTGGGGAGTGTGGCTGGACAACACCAGCTGGCATCCAGATCCCCCTTCCATTGGGGCTGGTAAGAACAGTAGCCCCAAGAACCCCCATATTGTCCAAACTAGTTTTTGATCAATCTTATCTTGAGGGGGTCTTTTGTGTTCCGATCGAT